GCTTTTTGACTGGCATCCAAATAATAGAAGCTTGACATTGAAAGAAAGCACTCTGACATGTCTGGTCAGTCCCTAATAGGTAATACATAACAAAAAACTTTTCTGAATTCCAAGTTAGCACATCCAAGTTGTCGTTCCATAATAAAGTAATTTCGGTACTTTTTGTTCGTGATATATCTCAAGCTGTATTGATTGTGAAGTAATCGATTTTTTAATTTTTTGATTTTTTTTATTTTCAATAAAATTTTTTCGCGAATTTGTTTAATACAGCTAGAATCCACTGTTCGCAATAGGTCTATTACGGGTAAAATCGTTCGCGATAGGTCTATTACAGGTAAAATCGTTCGCGATAGGTCTACTACGGGTAAAATCGTTCGCGATAAGTCTGTCACAGACCTATCACAGCTACCGTTCGCGACAGGTCTGTTATAGGTCTGTCACAGACATGCTCCGAGTTCCTAAACCACCTGCGCCCCGAACCGTATTCTACCTGTGATAGGTCTAGCGCGAATCACCTGTGGATGCGAAATTACAAAACGCTAGTGTTAGCCGCTAGGCCACGAGGCAGCAGAACAGAGTGAGAGCGGAGGGCTTACAGAAGGAGGCGCCCTCCCAAAGGTTGAAGGCGCCCTGCCGCATTCGTTATAGTTGAAAACGAAGCGAATGAATGGCCTAGTGGTTAGCGCTCCTGTCTATGAATCTTGCATCGCGGGTTCAATTCCTAGTGGGGTCAAATCTTTTTTGCTTTTTTTCTAATATATTCTGATTCAAAATTTGATGACACAGAATTGGATTTTTCGAGATTTCCAGTTTTTTGGAAACTCAAAAACTGCCCTTTTTGTATTTCCGCTTTTGTCATTTTTCGTTCTTTCTCCTTCTCTACGAAGCAATTCCAATCATGTTTTTCCTCCCACACTCTGGGAAAAAAGGAAAAAAAACACTTTGTCACTAATGAGAAGTCTCTCTTTCTCTCTCCTTTTTCTCCCAATGGAATTCTGAATGATGACACCTCTTCCAAAGGGAACAAAGAAGAAGAGGAGATGATGATGATGATGGAAATGACATTGAGAGCTCAGCTATATTATACTCTTCCAATTTCTGACTCCCACACACAAATATTTCCGGTTCGAATTTCTTCTTTTTTTTTCTGAGGATACGCTTTTGGGATAAGGGAGAGAGAGAGAGAGAGAGAGAGAGAGAGAGAGAGAGAGAGAGAGAGAGAGAGAGAGAGAGAGAGAGAGAGAGAGAGAGAGAGAGAACAGTCCCAATACCTTCAGGAAAGAGCCTGAAAGAGCACAAAACTGGCCACACAAAAAAAGACGAAGCGGAAATAAATAATGCCTCGAGGCAGGCACACTGGACTGACGTCATCTTGGGTTTCCTCTTCTCCCCTAGACTCAAGTGCTCCCTTTTTGTAGTGGAGCTCTGAAGAAAAATTCCAGGAACCCCCGAGAATTTAGAATTCCAAGAAAAAACTCTTGTTCGCTGTCGGTAACAGAAAAAGAGGGCAAAGATGGTGGGAATACTAAATAATTGAAAAGAGAGAGAGAGAGAGAGAGAGAGAGAGAGAGAGAGAGAGAGAGAGAGAGCGCTTACGTTTCAAGGGGAGAAAACTTATTAATCATTCATTCAGACATCACTTTTTGAAAAATGAAGCATAAGCAATTGCGCTCCATAGAGAATTCCAGTCAACTTTGTCAATGGAGCGCACTTTGACTAGAAATTCCCACTGATTATTTTCAAGATTCTCATTTGAGCGCATTTTCCTATTTACCAGTACTGTATGGTGTTTGCGGACCCGGCACCGAATTTTACGACAATTCAGATTTCCCTTTATTACAGCCTAGATGATGACGCAACTCCGCTCTAATGACAGTGTTCTCTAGAATTCGCACTTTCACCTGTTCTAGGTACCCAATCCACCCACACAATTTTTTTTTCAAGTCAGAATGAGCAGCGTTCACCGAGACCAAATGACGATGCGTGGAGCAAGTGCAGAAGGCTCCATTCTAGGCATTTTTGGATTTTGAATCTTGGGCCTGGGAGGATAAACAAAAGAGGATAATGAGCAAAGTTTACGATCGGGCTCAGAAGATTTACAGCTTTTTTTGCAGGCAGGCAGAGTTTCAAGATTTTTGGGGTAAAATGTAGCCTAGTGTCGCTCTAAGCAGAAAAATCTACCGTAGGCTTTCAGAAATCGCCAAGAAAACCCTTTGAATCACTTAGAAACCCAAGAAACTGTCTTAGAAAAAAAGCAAAAAAGCTTTGACCCCACCTGGAGTCGAACCCCGAATGCAAATTTACAAATCGGCAGCGCTAACCGCTAGGCCACGAGTCGGCATGACGGCACAGGTGTAGAGGGCATACAGAAGCCGGCGCCCTGTCGAAGGTTGAAGCCGCCAGGGACAGCGGATAGCGGTACAGTTAAAGCGCACAACCAGCAGCAAACCAGTGGCCTAGTGGTTAGCGCTCTTGTCTATAAATCTGACATCCGGGGTTCAATTCCACTAAGGGCAAATCTTTTTTGTTTTTTTCCCTAAATGCGCCTTTAAAGGTGGTAGAACATGAAAAAAATAATTTTTCTAAAATTTCAAAATTAGATACCTCGTGGTGGGTTCGAACTTAGGGCCCGCCTGGCGCATCACCAAACATGCTACCGGCTGCGCTATGCGACCGGAAAAGCGCGGCAAACAGGTTTGCCTATAAGTGCCGGCAGAGAAAAAAAGTCCCCGAAAAGTCCCCGTAGACTTTCATGTTCCACCACCTTTAAGATTAAAAAACAGTTCTGACTCACATCCTCTTTGTCCTGCTCAAAATTGACGGCATTCTCCTCACCCTCCTCGATTGGCTGTTGCTGCTGTTGATCCCCATAGAAATAATCGACGGGCAGTGCTGATGACGCATAAGCCAAAAAGGCCACGGCGTAGAGGCAGGAGGCCCGCATCCCTCTGAAATGAGTGAGCTCTCGCGGCCGTTGAATTGAATCGATAGAGAGTGAGAGAGTGGCAGACAGTCAGAAGACGTTAGAGGGTGGGGCTCCCTGGGTGCTCACGAGACCTTCAAGAGGGGGAGCGCCATAGAAGGAGGAGAAGAAGAAGAAAGAAGCACAGAGTATGCATCCAATAATTTTTTTTCAGACCAACTTGAAAAAAATAGTGTGGGAGTTGAAGAGAGGGCAGACATTGCGGTGAGAAGGAGATCATTGAAAAAAGGAATAGGGAAGTAAAAAGAAACGAACGGAATGTGTCATAAAATCCTGGAAGGGTGGAAATGACACTATTTTTTGGTTGGTTAGTCATCAGGTTTCTGTCTAGGACGACAAAAAATTGGAGAGTTCCCAGAAATCGAATCTAGGAGTTTTTCGAAGACAGTATTGGAGTTTTTTGGTTTCCTAGAGCAGGAATTTGTCTACCCAGTTACCTTGAAGGAGCAGAGAGCAAAATCCACAAAAATTGAGCTGGCGGCCTAGAAAACGAAAATTTCAAATTAATTAATAATTATACGGCTGGATGCGCTTTTGAATTCTCTAAAACTTGGTTCAAAAACCAGGCTGAAATCTCCATTTTCAGCCGAGTTATAGTCGAAATACTGGAAAATTTTATTCTGAGCAATTTCACAAAATTCAGCATAACTCCTCTCTAAATCAATATTTTTGAATTCTGAAAAGTGGATAGTAATGAGGAAGTCATTTGGAATAGAATCCACACGAATATTGCGTGATAGCCTAGAAAACCAAATTCTGAGAAAGTTAGGCCACCTAATCATGTTCATGGTAGATGTTAATTTTTCTACGCCTAAATGTGGCTTTGAATTCTACACAACTTGGTCCAAAGCCCAGTCCGAAACCTCTATTTTTAGCCGAGTTATAGTAGAAATACTGAAAATTTTTATTCTGAGCAATTTCACAAAATTCAGCATAACTCGTCTTCAAATCATTATTTTTGAGTTCTAAAAAATAAAAATGATCAAAAATTTAACTCCTAATCCTTTTACAATCTACCTAGTCTAGAGAAAAAAATTCATCATTTCTATACAAAGTCGGAAATGCATTCATTATGAATCATATTATGAATTTTTTTCAGCTTCGACATAATCCCCTTTTCTCTCTCTCTCTCTCTCTCTCTCTCTCTCTCTTTTAATAACCTTATTCAATTAATCCCCCTTCATAACAAGTTCTTTTCTTGCTCTCTTTTGATAATCTCATTTGATTTGAGTCCCTTCGAGCAGCTTGGCTTATGACCTATGGACTACGGTATTAAAGGGAGATACATCAATGTTCAAAGTCTATTTAGTTTTAAGGGACCTTTGTTCACAGAAAAAAAGAGAAGAAAATTGAAAAAAAAAAGGATTTTTGGTTCTGAGAGCACTCACTCAAAAAGATGAATGGGAAATGGAAAAAAGGATGACAAAGGATACAGCTTGAATTTAACGGAAACAAAGTGACAGGAAAGCAGGAAACCTTAAAGGCGCATGGCCTTTTCTGGAATTTTTTTCAAAGACATTTTGACATCATCATCGGAATCTGGTCATATATAATCCGTAGAAAAGCACATTTCAAGAGAATGACAAAATAAAATTAATCTTTTCTTGCAAAACATGTAAAAAATGTGAAATGTAGGATGATGATAATCTCCTTTCAACCAATTTTTTTTCAAATATTCGTCATTCATTTTCCGAAAGATGATGAAGAAAAAACCCAAAAATACATTTAAAAAATTCTCACTATCAGAAATGTAAAAAGTGTTACCTTAAAGGCGCAGATTGGATTTTAGACGAGTATTGAGCATCTGAAGTCTTGAGTGCTCGAAAATAAAGGAATTTTTTCCATGTTATGGTTGACTTTTACCTTAAAAGCGCAGCCAAGGGTCTTTTTTCTCATCTCAGTCAACCTGACACCGAACAAGCCGAGTTTTAATCGAAATACTGGAAAATTGTATTCTGAGCAATCCCACAAAATTTAGCATAACTCGGCTGAATATTGATATTTTCGAATTCTGAAAAGTGGTAAACGATCGGGAAGTCATTTGGAACAGAATCCACCTAATTTGGCGTGATGACCTAGAAAACCGAAATTTGAGAAAGTTAGGCAACCAAGCCATTTTCTTGCGATTTTTATATGACTAGATGTGTATTTAAGTTTCCTGGAGCTTGCTTCAAAAACCAAGCCGAAATCTTCATTTTCAGCCGAGTTATAGTCGAAATAATGGGAAATTTTATTCTGAGCAATTAATCAAATTTTGGCGTAACTTGACTCAAACTCAATACTTTTGAGTTCTGAAAAGTGGAAAATGATCGGGAAGTCATTTGGAACAAAATGAACCGACATTTGAAATAGTGACCTAGAAAACCAAAATTTGCAAAATTTAGGCCACCAAACCATTTTTATGCTAGTTTTCTGGATTTTATTTAGCTGGTTGCGCCTTTTTAAATTCAAAAATTTTCTTCAAATTGGTACAAAATCCGAGTCGAAATCTTCATTTTTAACCTAGTTATAGTCAAAATACTGAAACAAAATACACACAATTTTAGATGGTCCCACCAATTCCCAAGGCTCGGCTCGGCCCGGCCCGGTGGCCCGGAAGATTACCGCGAATTTTGAAAAATTGAAAGAAAAATTCCTGACTTTCAGATAAAAAAGGACAAACTTTAATTGGGAGAGTGAAAATTTTTTCAAAAACAAAACCGAAATTTTTTGAGTCCAGGCCTCCGGGCCGAAATTTCACAAGTATGGGG